AGTGTCTCTTTGGAGGACATGAGCCTCTGGTTGCCTCGGGGCATGGTCCTAGACCATACCCTGATCTGCTTTTTTTCTGGATTTTTATTTTTTTTGATACCTGGATATCCAGGCATTAAATTTTGAGCCCGCACTGCAAATATGCAGTGTGGGGATCATTTTTTTGTTCCCAAAGTGCCTCTTGCCACATCTCAAACTGCTTTGAGATGCAGGAAGAGGCACATGTGGGCGCATCTGGATGTGTCCCTTGAGTCTGTGATGTCTTTGAGAACTCCTGCCAACCTTACACTATGCACAGATTGCTAACAAAACACTCCGCTTCCAACAATCTGGCCTGGCACTAGAGGCATTGAAATTCTGATCAAGAACCTGCAGAGGTATCTAAGAGAGAGTGATCAATCCTGTGTGAATACCAAAGTGCTGTATAAGCATAGCTTATAATTATGTTCCTTTTATTTATCCCAGTCTTGAGCTTTCAGTTATTTGGGGCAATACAGCTTCCATTGCAGCAGCATTTTAACTGAGGCCATTCTTTGGCTTTTCCTTTCCTCAGTATTGCTTAGCTTTGAATTATTCTGTTTTTTCTTTACTTTTGTTTAGTTAAGAAGTGCTAATTATTACCATACTTTAATTGTCTGCACAGTTCTCTGTGTGCCTCAACAGAATAGCTGGTGCTTTAAAAATAAAGCAATAACAGTATTAAAACCTTTGCATTGCTACTGTGCCTGTCATGCAAAGAAGTAAGTGTAACGTGCATGGAAAATAGAAAGATCACTTCATCCACTACTGAAATGGATTTAGGTGTCAGAGGGGAAATGAAGAATATGATAATCAATTTATACAGTAGACGATATTTAGATTGGCAGAATTTAATTGCTTCCATTAGAGTTTGACCAGAATACCAAAGATAACATCTTTGTTCCTGCAAAGAAGTCTCTCTAAGGAAAGAAATCAAGGCAATGTAGGAACATAGGACTGGAAATGGTCTCCTGGGCCACTGAGTTCAGTCCTCTACATCTCTTCTTAAAGATCCTACTTGCTGCACAGCACCATCCTGTGACAGGAAACCAATTTCAGTCTCATAAAGCTCCTAGGAGTTTATCTGCTCGATCCACCTGGACATTCCCAGCTCAGCTTTGTTTCCCAGTTAACTCTGCAGGATTATTCTGTAGAAGCAACCAGGGAACAGTTAAAGGTGCAGAACATATGCGGTTGGCTAGTGGGCACAACTGTTAGGCATAAAAGGAGGAATAGCAGCCTTGTAGGGGAGAGTGCTTGTCTGCCTGTGCCTCAGAAGGGTGAGTTTTGTTTGAAAAAGACTCACAATAAATGCTGCAGAGAGTTGAGTGGTACCCCAGTGATGGGGTTGTTGCAGTGGTTATTGTGCCTCTGTGACAAAGACTCTGAATGTGTGTATTTTCCTTTGCTTGGGAGTAGGTGTTTTTTGGGTTAGTGGATGGGTAATCCTTGGGATCATCTTTGAGCCCTGCCATGGGTTCAGAAACATATTGGAGGGAAGAATGGAACCTGGTAAATTATTTTTGAAAAGCAAAGGGGAACCTTGTGGGTAAATTCAGTTTCCCTGATTATACTAGGCAGAGAGAGGAGAGTACACTTTTTCATTTATTCCGAAAATGCACCCATCTCTCCACCTTAGGGAGCATGTAACATGATCATCTTTGAGCCCTGCCATGGGTTCAGAAACATATTGGAGGGAAGAATGGAACCTGGTAAATTATTTTTGAAAAGCAAAGGGGAACCTTGTGGGTAAATTCAGTTTCCCTGATTATACTAGGCAGAGAGAGGAGAGTACACTTTTTCATTTATTCCGAAAATGCACCCATCTCTCCACCTTAGGGAGCATGTAACATAAAGCAGAGGCATATCTAGTGATTTTTATGCCTTGGAGGGGTGCTGTGCCAAGGACCTGAGAGTGGG